TTCCAACCTTGATGTTTCCATGATTCTATGAGGGCATTCACCTCTCCCCTGGCACCTTCTCCTCTGAGTCGTGCCGTCACCATTTGCGAAAACCGCATGCTCCATGCTCGCCGGGATGTCGGGGCTGGTGCTCTCTCTCCCAACCCTCCCATGCACCACCCTGTGGGGCAAGTGGCCACGGGCAAGTGGGTCACATCCCCCCTTCTTCTCTAAAGGAGTCCCGGACTCCAGCATAAAGCAGGGTGCCACAGGTTGTGAGCAGGGGCACGCAAGTGCACACCCCTCGCTGCCTGTAAAAGCGTGAGGCAGCGAGTCCCAGGTGGGACTTGGGCAGGAGCTGCTGTTGGGGAGCAGGACCAGGATCCCTGGGCAGGGATGGAGCCCTCCACTGCCAGCTGCTCCCTCCCAGGTCAGGGTGAATTTTGTGTGTGTACTGGGAGCTCAGGTTGTGGTTAATGTGTTAAAATGACCCAACCTGCAAAGGGTCCAGGTTAAAATACGGTTTTGACTGCAATAACAATGTTGTTTCATTGCTCTGCCGAGGATCCTTAAAGAATCTGCCTGTCCTCATCCTATTGGGTGACAGATGCTCAGGGAAACTCGTCTTTGAGTTATATCCCTTGGACCTGGAAAGCATCCTGCACCCCCTGGAGTCAACAGTGATGCAAGGAGCAGGACACTGCCAGACCCACTGCTGTTCTCCGGGCAGGGTGCCGGACACCGCGCCTCGGGGGCTGAGGTAATCCCAGGAAGGAAGAAGCTGCTGTGTGCTCCTTCCAGGGGCTGACAACCCACCCCCAAGCTCCTGGCACGGCCTCTCTTGGCTCCTTCTCAGCCAGGCTCTCCATGGGTAGTACAGCTGGCAGCAAAAAACAAACCCTGGTCCCCCAGGATCCTCGGTTAGTGCCTTCCCAAAGGTGCCACCCCACGCAGGGGAGATGCTCTGCCGGCGCAGCCCTTCTGGTGTCCCTGCTGTTGCTCCAGACTGGAGGTACTGGGGCTGCTGCTTCTGCAGGAAGGGCTGAGGAGCATCACCAGCCCCTGCAACCCCCTTCCCAATGCTCCTGAGAGAATCACAGAATCACAGAAAGTTGGGGGTTGGAAGGGACCTCTAGAGATGATCCAGTGCCACCCCCTGCCAGAGCAGGGTCACCCAGAGCAGGTCCCACAGGAACTTTTCTAAAAGTCTCCAGAGCAGGAGACTCCACACCCTCTCTGGGCAGCCTGGGCCAGGGAACACCTGCACAGGGAACAAGTTTCTCCTCATGTTGAGGTGGAACTTCCCATGTTCTAACTTAAACCCATCATTCCTTGTTCTATTGCTGGGCACCGCTGAGCAGAGATTGTCCCCTTCCCCTTGACCCCACCCCTCAGATATTTCCATTAATAAGATCCCCTCTCAGCCATCTCCTTTCACGGCCACAGAGCATCAGGAATGGGCTCTGTAGTTGCACCCTGGTTGCCAGGAGCAGCATCTGGCTCATCGTCCCGTGGCAAGCACGAAGGCATTGCTGGCTGCGAGACCAGATATGAGCTGGGGGCATGTGGGGAGGATGAATGTGTAACGAAAGGCATCCTCACAGGGCGTGCCGATCCTAACCATGGAATGAGTGCTTGATTAATGGAAATCTAAAAAAAAATTAAGAATAGAGAAAATAAAACCAAAGCAGGCAGGGACTTTTGAAAAACGCCCATTAAAAAACTACTAGTAAGTGACGGAAAGAAATAAGAGAGATATTTAAAAGGGAGGGAAGCTGGTAAAAAAAAGGATGACTTGTAGAAAAAAATAGCCATTGTACATGGTGAATCTCCAGCAGCAGGGATGTTCTCCCCTAGGAGGTGTCTACTCCTTTTTGATCTGATTTTCAGCAGAACCAAGACAATTGTTTAAAAAACAAATCATAGAATTATAGAATCCTAGATTACTGGGTTGGAAGAGACCTCAAGGATCATCTAGCTCAAGCCTTTAAGGTAAAGAAATAAAGTTTAAATGAGATGGCCCAGCACCTTGAATAATGCATTTGTCAAAGCCATCCTCTTTCCTGCACATCAGCTTCCCCAGCTTCCTCAGTATTTGAAATTATTCTTGAATTTCTTGGGAATTATTTTTCCTCTAGTGGAAAAACACATGTCCATTTAATGGAGAAAGTCCCAGCTTTCAATTATTATCCAGCTTTCAAAAGCACTTTGTTTCAACAGTGCTACGCGCTCGCTTTACATTGGCGCAAACAGGCGTAGAAGGTGCAGGGAATGCAGCGATACGAACAATCAAGTCAAAATTCATTTTAAAAATATAGGGTTGTGAAAAATCCTACCCTCCTCTCTCAGCTGAGCCTGAAAAATGAAGGTTTCATCATGTCTAGTCTTGTGAGGCAGTTTTTCACAAGTTCCTCTGAAAGTTTGCCACCAACCTGTTGTCCTTCCTAGGCAAACCCCGTTTTTCTCAGGACAGCCAGGAGACCCCAGCAGACCCGAGGACAAGATGTTCATCTAAAGCACATGGCGTGCCTTGAGGTCACCTTAGTGTGCCTTCTAAGCGAGACCAAGAAGCTCGCTTGGGCAGGGACTTCATATTTTGCATTTCCAGCAAGAATGATCTATATTTCGGGGATGGTTACAGACCCCCTGGGCTCCTTGGCACCTCCTGGTCCCGCTCCGTGCCGGTGGGGAGGGTGGGGATGGCTCCAGGCTCTGGGACACAGAGGAGGACAGGCTGGTGGGTGCTCTTAAATCAGCTCTGCACTCAACGAGGCGAACAATAATCCCGGTTATCGCTGGAAGAGGGCTTCAACCACTCGCTGTCAACTCGCTACGGTGCCCCCGGCTTCCTTACCCCCTTTTCAATGGTGTTGGTTTGGCAGATGGTCCCCTCGGCAGCAGGGATGCTGTTGGTTATGCAGCGGTTGCTTTTACTCAGACACCATAACTCGCTGCAGACTTCCTGGAAAGGGAGAGATTTTGGGGGAGGGAGAGGGGAAAAAAGAGACAAAAGAAACAAAAGCTGAGATTAGGATTTGCTTGTGCTGGGGGCTGTGAGGCACTTCAGGAGCACCAGCTGGGCTGGCACCCAGGGAAAGGAGTGTTTTCAGCACAGTGAGGGGGGGAAAGATTAAATCTTGCAAGGTCACCCCAAGACCACTGACAGCTCGCCCCCTTCTCTGGACTAAGGCTAAGCACATCTCCTGGGGCTGGGTTCTCTGGATTTGGAGGTTCCAAAGCGCTCGGGTGCCAGAGCCAGCCTGGACAGCCAAACCTGGGCTTTATGCCACATCTCCTTGGCCATCCCAGTGAGGCCCCAGTTCCTGCCGCTGTGCTCCACTTGTTCCCTCTGCCCAGGGAGGAGGGATGTTCCCTTTTTTGGGTCTGTGCAGTTCAGGCTGAGCACAACGGCCCATTCCTAGCACCTGCCTTGAGCATTTCTACGCTGCGGTCCAGATATGCCTCTGCGGGAAGCTGGGATTCCCCAGGAGCACCCATATGGCAAGTCTGGCATCTCCTGCTATGGGAATGCACTGCAGGTCACAGTGTGACCACCTCGTGTACTGGCAATCTCCAGCCAGTCAAGCCTAAAGGGAACACTCCTCTGGAAGCAGCAGAGCCGTTTTCAGAATAATCAAAATACCAGACACTGAGCCAGCCCTTAAGCAGCTCCAGCAGTGGGCACTTCTGCTCTCTGTCTCTGCTAGGCACAGCTGGATCCTGAGCTGAAGGCTCCAGATCTTTTCCCAGGAGGTTTCCTGAGCCACAGATCCTGAGCTTCAGCCCATCCTGGCCTCTCAGAGCACCAGCAAACAAAACGCTTCCCTTGGCTGTTCCAAAACCCACCCTAAAGTTAGGTCTGCAAAGTTGTCACAGCTGCTAAATCAGAAAGTCCAAGCTCTCTGAACCTGCTCTGCCACAAAATCAACCAAGCTGGAGTTCAACACCTGCAAACAGCAAAGCAACACCTCAAATCCAGAGCTGAGTTTCCCACCAGGTCACCATCCTGCTCCTGTTCCTCCTACTGCAAGAAACCTATCCACAACGTGCTGCTTTGCAGAGGGCAGCCTGCTGTGAGTTAGGTTACACTCAAAAACACTAAAGAAGTCCACGCTGTCAGTGAAGGAAACTGTCTCAAGATGTGAGAGCAGAGCCCCAACAGCCACGACTGCTGCTGACAGGCTCCTAACCTGCACCGGTGCCGCTGTCGGTGCGCACCCACATAATGGCGCAGGCTGAAGGACCTGGTGTGGCACAGCCACCACCTCGCCTCCTGCCTGCCCTGACGGCAGCAGGACCTCGAGGACAGCTCCCGCGGGCTGCCTGCCTCTCGTCAGGGAGCAGCCTGTTCATCACGCCTCCGGGCTCGGGTCAGCCTTCCAGCAAGGCATTCCTCATAGAATCACAGAACAGTTTTGGCTGGAAGAGACCTTCAAGATCATCGAGTCCAACCTTTTCCTAGCTCTATGAACATCACTAAACCATGTCCTTCAGTTAAACATCTACCTGGGAAGCCCCATCAAGGCTCTAAACAGTAAGTGATATCCCTGTAGGACAAACTGGCTCAACAACTGGGAATCCTCTGTGCTGGTACCAAGAGGGGTGAAAAGATGAGCTCAGGATTTCTCCGCTTCCCTCCCGGACATGGGGTTGTGACAGCAGAGTGACACAGGGAGAGGCGGCAAAGGAAAAATCCCATGGAGTCTGCGCTGAGGACCACGGCTCCGAGGCACAACGGGATTTGGGTTCCCAATTCCCTTGCCAAAGTCCAGCTGCAGCTGGCTTTAACCAGGGAAAGGAGAAAGTGTCTCCATCTTCAAGAGGCATCTGCTCCTCCATAGTGCTCTTGCAGAGCCAGCAGGACTATTGGGAAGCAGGAGCCCTTCCAGAGGCTCTTCTCTCTGTGTCACCAAGGGAGAGGACTTCCCAGCTTCAACCTGTGACATCTGTCTGCTCTGTCCTCATTACACCTATTAATGATCTGCTCTGCACTGGCACGGGGGAAGGGATGCTGCCGTGTTTGTGCCACCACGCTGCAGTTTGCTCATATGGAGCAGGAGGGAGGTGGACTTACACGTTTACCCAGATTTATCTGCACGCACTTGGGCCCTTACGCCCTTCGGGTTTCTCCCAAACAACACGCAAGGCAGGCTGGGCTAGAAGGGTCATCACCAGGACATCTTGTGCTTTCGTGATCCTTGTATATACACAGGAAATGTCTGCCCGAGTTAAAAATTAGCTGGGAAACAGGCATGTAAATGTGCAAAATTTCCATTCCACTGTTCCTGGCTTAGCTGAGAAGGGACACAGTTGGTAGCACCTGACATAGATACCACGACCACATCAGCCAGACCCAGACTTCTGCTGCTGCTCTGGGCACCACATGAGACTGCAAGTGTCCCATGACCCCAAAGTTCTGGGTCCCTGGGTCATGTTGAAGACAGCACTGGACTAGGGAGAGCCAAACTTTGTCCCTTGTTCACCAACGTGAGCTGGTGAGACCACCAAGAGGTAGTTTGCTGTTGAACCACAATAAACAGATGAACGCTCGGGAGCGATAAACTGGTTCCCATCGGGTCACCTCAACTGGAGTGTTGGGCTTGTATTTACAAGGTTGCAAGAGAAACAAAACCCCTGCCCCTTCACAGGGCTGGGGTGGGTACACACACGTGTGTCCATCAGACAACACAGTTGCCCGTGTATCTTGTCGCTGCCTCCTGTTTTCTCTAGAGGCAAGGAGCTCAATCAGCCCTTCAGTGCAGACCCTTCCCCCTCGCCACCATGTTCACACACTTGGCAAAGTCCAGTATGACAAGAACAGCAAAACGTCAGTCTGAGATCTAGGAAGACTCTTTTCTCCTGAAACAACCTTTCCTTTCAGTGGTTTCCTGGCCTCAAAAGATGAGGGGATGGCAGCATGATGGCAGGAGTGGCTGTCTGTCACCCAGACATCCCTACAGCACACCGACCCACCTCGTCTGGAAGAAAGACATTCCTCCTCTAAGTTTGTATGAGCAGCTTAATTACTTCTAGTAAGGAGTATGAAAAATAAGTTTGGCACAAAGCCCCATCGAGAGGGGAGTTTGGACGAGGGGACCACAGCTTGGCTTTCGGCTGCAACCCCCGGGGACAAGCAGCAGCCAAGGCACCAGGCAGAGGCAAGAGATCTCCTCCCACAGGACTCATCTGACCAAACCCGAGCTGGGGTCAATCTTTGTGGATGGGAAACAACCTCCTCTGACCTCTCACAGGGAAGCAAGGCAAAAAGCTCAGGGGGAACGCACTGGTGTCCTTCATCAGGAGGAGGACAGCAAAGCGATGTGGGCAGCGGAGGAACGGCCCCACGGCCCTTTGCCCTTGTAGCCCCCATCCTCCACCCCCTGGGAACCGATAGTAAAGCAGGAAGGCTCTCTACCCCGTATTTACACTGGCGAGATTTAACTCCGTACTGGAAACGGCACTGCTCGTCTGCATCGTAGGCCTGTCCTGGAGCCACTGTTGGGTAGATAAAGTCTTGCTTGGGAGGAGCGTTGTTCAGGCATAATCCCATCCCGGAGCTGGAAACAAGAGAGGAAAAATCAGAGCTCAGGAAGGCTGGTAGGAGAGCCTCGTGGCAGAGGAGCAGGCTCTGCTCAGGGCTGAGCTCTCAGCTCCGTCTGCTTGGGGAGGGTAACTCCACCAGCCTCTTACAGGCAAAACCACAGCTGAGAAAGTGCTCTGAAGCCTTTCTTACCCGTGCCCTCAGGGCAGGGAGGCACATGCTGGTTCCTTCCTTTAATCTGTGGGTTTTGCAGGCTATCGCCAGGCTCTGGCGGTCCCAAGGGGTTCTGGGGCCAGCAGCCCCTCAGGAGGG